GCTACTACTGTTACCACGGTTAGTACCACTGATCCTGTCAGCACTGTTAGTAGTGGTGCTGGTACTAGTACTAACAAAACATTGGCTTTAAAGTTCGTATTGAAGCTTTACACGCGGAACTGGGCCAAAGGCCTTCTTATCAAGTCAAGGAATACACGGCTAATGTCTCGCTATTCGATTATCAATGCAGTTTCATCCTAAAACTCTTGATAACTTCATTAGGCATTGACCTTGCCTTCAATGAATCTACGAATTGTTTCATCACGAGCCTCTTTAGCATCGTGTAGAGAATGCTTGTTTAAGATGTCGATGGTCTGTCGTTCAGGGGCTCCTGTCTCCTCCTCTCGTCGTGTTCTCGGTCGCCACAACAAAGAAGTTCGGTTATAAAAGTCCAGATATTAAAAGCTGTATTATCACTTGATTCCGCCTCGCGCTACGGCGCTCCACTTTGATGTTGGGCAGTTTCTTAGTGTGGTTTTTGGTTTGTTTTCTGGAGTTCTCAGCGGCGTAAAAGCAGATCCCACTTTCATAACTGGGAAAGGATGTTCCATGTCGCGCTCTCGCTCTTTTTTCTTTTTCTCAATCTTTTTCTCTCAAGCTTTTTCTTTCTCAATGTTTATCTTTTTCTTTCTTTCTCCCTCTTTCTTTCGCCCTCTTTCTTTCGCCCTCTTTCTTTCGCCCTCTTTCTTTCGCCCTCTTTCTTTCGCCCTCTTTCTTTCGCCCTCTTTCTTTCGCCCTCTTTCTTTCGCCCTCTTTCTTTCGCCCTCTTTCTTTCGCCCTCTCTTTCTTTCGCCCTCTTTCTTTCGCCCTCTTTCTTTCGCCCTCTTTCTTTCGCCCTCTTTCTTTCGCCCTCTTTCTTTCGCCCTCTTTCTTTCGCCCTCTTTCTTTCGCCCTCTTTCTTTCGCCCTCTTTCTTTCGCTTTCTTTCGCCCTCTTTCTTTCGCCCTCTTTCTTTCGCCCTCTTTCTTTCGCCCTCTTTCTTTCGCCCTCTTTCTTTCTCCCTCCCTCTTTCTTTCTCCCTCCCTCTTTCTTTCTCCCTCCCTCTTTCTTTCTCCCTCCCTCTTTCTTTCTCCCTCCCTCTTTCTTTCTCCCTCCCTCTTTCTTTCTTTCTCCCTCTTTCTTTCTCCCTCCCTCTTTCTTTCTCCCTCCCTCTCTCTTCTTTCTTTCTCCCTCCCTCTTTCTTTCTCCCTCCCTCTTTCTTTCTTTCTCCCTTTCTTTCTTTCTTTCTCCCTCTCTTTTTCTTTCTCCCTTCTCTCCCTCTTTCTTTCTTTCTTTCTTTCTCCCTCTTTCTTTCTTTCTCCCTCTTTCTTTCTTTCTCCCTCTTTCTTTCTTTCTCCCTCTTTCTTTCTTTCTCCCTCTTTCTTTCTTTCTCCCTCTTTCTTTCTTTCTCCCTCTTTCTTTCTTTCTCCCTCTTTCTTTCTTTCTCCCTCTCTCGTTCTCTCTCCTCTCTCTCGTTCTCTCTCCTCTCTCTCGTTCTCTCTCCTCTCTCTCGTTCTCTCTCCTCTCAGCCATTAGTGTGTGTGTGTGTCCCTGGGGACGGGTTATCATCCGGGCCTCAACAGGATGCCACACATCCTCTCTTATCTCAACTGTCTCTTGTCACCACACTGGTTACAACCTCGTATCGGCTTTCTCTTGAGATCTTCTCCCCTCCTATAAGCTTCATATCCCCCTTCCCTTCTCCCCTTATATGTTTGTAATCGTGGTATGAAAGGTTGTAAGCACGGTGTCTTACACCGTACTTACAACCGCTTAAAAGTACGGTGTCCAGGCATACTTTAAACGGGATTGGACGTTAAATTTTTTTTATGAAGGTCTAAAGCGGGTAATTTTAAAATTGCTCCCCCCCCCCCCCATTTTTTTAGTTATAAGGGGGAACTGTAAAACGTGTCCCAAAATTATTTGCTTGGGAGTTGTGGAGCTCCCAACAGGCTGCACATGGAACATGTTGGGCTGTTGTAATAACCAGATTTGGGGAAATGTTCAGTGAACCACACGTGAATTGCCGCACGTACTCAGACATGTGATCTTCGACGCACGGACTACGACGCACGCACTAAGACAACTATACGGTAATAACGTTTGATTAAGATTAAGCCACCCTAAAGGTGGCATGGGCATGAATATCCCGTAAGTGGTGGCCCCTTTGAGCCATTACCAGTATCAAGAGCTGATACTGGGGATCTGTGAAGGTGCGACTGCACCCTGCGTGACGGGAGATGTCTCCCCCGTGGGTAATAACGCTTGGTGGGTGTTGTATATCTGGAAGAAGCCAGCTGAATATTGGTAGCATATCTGACCCTGTTGTGACAGTTGAAATGCGGGTGTTTGTGTATGGGTCTCCGTATGCATGTCTAGTGTTACTCTCCTAGCTCGGTGCTTGCTCCAGGTGTGCTTCACCTCTATACGTCCTGGTTATCAACATTATACCTCGTGCAGCCCCGCTCCTGTGCCAGGTGAGTCCACTACGGGCTCACCATAGCCCGTGCTACTTGCCACTTTTGTTGAAAGTAGCTGAATCTAAAACCACCACAACCACCCACCCATTGGAGAGCGGGACATAGATTATAGTCCCTTGGGCTCTATTCTACATTTGGTGTTGTAATATATATATAATATGGAAGCCATCTAGTTTGGCCCAGTAGGCCAAACTAGGATTTTTTTTTTAATATGTTTAGCTATTAACCGAGGCTCATTTGGGTAGGCTAGCCTACTTAGTTTCCATCTTTGTCTCCAACAATATCAGTCTTGTGAAGAGACTCACAACTCCAATTAGGTATGAATGCCTCCTCCCAAAGTCATAGTACTTGTATAAATTATTTGGTCGAACGTTAAAAAGTGGACTGCTGCGGGAAAGTGTTTACTCTTTATACTAATAATTTTGTACAGGGCACGGAAAGAAAAAACTAGACTTGTATTCCTAAGCCTAGTATAGCGCAAAAGTACTATAATATAACTAAGATAACGCACATTAGGCCTATGATTGCTTGGACAAGTTAGATTAGGTTCTTAAATAATTTTTTCACACATGCAAAATTTACTTTTGTGCTCAACAGTCCATTTTTTGCACGTTTGATCAAATACTTGTTAAAAATACAATCATTATTGGAAAGTGGGTTAATGTATACGTACTCGCCTAATTGTACTCGTTTAATCTAGTTGTGCTTACGGGGGTTGAGCTCTGGCTTTTTGGTCCTGCCTCTCGACTGTCAATCAACTGGTGTACAGATTCCTGAGCCTACTGGGCTCTATCATATCTACACTTGAAACTGTGTATGGAGTCAGCCTCCACCTCATCACTGTCTAATGCATTCCATTTGTTAACTATTGACAGTGAAAAAGTTCTAATACGTCCATGATTATGCATGTGCGTGCGTGAGGGGGGGGATTATGCATGCATGCATGTACGTGCGTGGGGAGGGATTATGCATTCATGCATGCATGTGCGTGCGAATGCGGCGTATCCCGCACGTGGTTTGAGGCGGGGGTGCATTCCAACCTCCCGGGGAGGGGGGGGGGAGGGGGAATGACTATTACCTGAGGGCAGGAAAAGACCCCACTCAGATAACCCAACGTTTGCCCACTTGCCACTATCTGTTATCTCTGCTTCTCTTCCACACCAACTCCTAACTCGCTCCCTCCCTCCCTCCCTCCCACCCTCCTCATGCTTGCTCGCGCCACCCTCCCCCCTCCACTACTCTCCCCCCACCGCCCCCAACCCCCTCCTCGCGACCTCCCCCTCCTCCTCTGAATATTAAAGTGAATATTAAAACTACGGTACACACTGTGAAATAATTATCCCAAAAATAACCCAAATTATATCTAGAGCTTCAGTGGTAACCATTTGGTCAACATTTCAGACCTAAACTATCATTATAAAACTAAACTCAGTACGGTTAATAAAGATTTGTGACAGGTGTGTGAGACAGGTGTATACAGACAGGTATACGCAAGTACGCTCAACAGGAGGAATGAAGTTGCTTCAACGGTTGGTAATTTGTCCTGAACTTGGGATGGCTGATTAGATAGAAGTATTCTCTTAATTGTGCTTGCTGGGTCTCTGGTTCCGCGTCTCAATTTACCTTGGTTCGTATCCTGGCCTGGCAGGATTAACTAGATGCCTATTGGCGTTAAGGATTAGCATCTGTTCACCCAGCAGTGATTGGGTACCTGGTTGTTAAGAGATTGGCAGGTCGTATTCCTGGGATACTAGTGGGTAAGGCTTACCATGAGCTATGGGATAGGGAAGCTATCAGGCTGTTCACGTGAGTTGGCAGTCGCCTGTTCCTGCACCCACCTGTGCAAGTCAATCAACACCTATACAGGTTTCTGAGCTTATTCAGCTCTTGTCTCCATTTGAAACTGTGTGTGTGGGGGGGGGGGTCTGCCTCTATCGCATCACTGGCTAGTGTATTCCATATTTTAACTATTCTGACACTTGACAATTATTTTTTTTGAGGTTTCCACCTGTCCTCTCCCTTGTGCGAGCACTACCCGTGCTTAAGTATCTTTATCTACCACATCAATTCCCCTGAGAATTTTGTATGTGGTAATCATGTCTCCCTTAACTCTTCTTTCAGCGATGTGAGGTTCAATTCGTGGTCTTTCCTCGTAACTTATATCCCATAGTTCTTAACAAGTCCGGTGCAATATCTTCTTCCTGTTTGACTAGGTGTGGACACCACGATGGAGCAACATCCTCCAGGATTGGTCTGAAATAATACAACAGGTTCTGAATGATTCCTTAAACTAATTTCTAAAGGCATGATTATATATGTGTGTGTGTGTGTGTGTGTGTGTGTGTGTGTGTGTATGCAATGTGTATATGTGTGGACAACAGTTAGATTCCACTACGCGGCTTCAATATTTTATCAGTATCACCTTATTGGGCTTTCGTTGTGGTTGTGTTATTGTACTTTCTATAAGATAAGATTCGTTAACAGTATATATAAAAGCCAGTAATGTTAACTTGAGGTTAAATTTGTCCTTCTCATCTTGCAGTTTACGAGTGGACGTACCCTACAAAAACGGCTCCGGTGCGGGGATATTTTTTTTCCTTAAAACCTCTGGGTCACTACGGGCTGCAGGACCCGCCGCTTGAACAAGGTAGGACCTAACACTGAGGAGCTGTGATGGACGTTAGTTCTTAACATAGCACTTTATGACGGTGAGATACACTTATAAAATAAGTGTGTGAAGTGTTGAAAGAATTTTTTAAGTGCCTTACGGGCTACTGATGTCTGTTACCTCTTAGCTTAATCATGATGTGTAAGTCATGTGTGGAAGGGGGAGGTCTAGGCTGGCCAATCATGCAACCTGTCCTCTTAAAAAGAACGTCGCTTTTGGCCGTTTGCCCGTATGGCCGAATTTGGACGTAATTTGAAAATGAAAAAAAAATGAAAACAAATTTGGAATTTTTTTTTTCAACAACAGTAAGTTAAGGGTCCTCTGATAGGTTAGGTGGGCAGGAAATTCTTATAAAGTTTCAAAACGTTATGAAAAACGTTAATTTAAAGTGTCCTCTTATAGCCTCTGCGCGTAGGCAGGACGACTCAAACAGAAAACGGAACAGAACGTCACTTTTGTGAGTCGATTTCATTTCAAATTACGTCCAAATTTAGCCATATCGCTCATACGAGCCAAAAGTGACGTTCTTTTTAAGAGGACGGGTTGAATCATGATGTTCCCGGACGTAGCCGCTTTACGCTCAAGAGTATTCATGTGTACGCATTATATACAATGTACGTATTCTCTTTCCAGAGATTTTCATGCATATTTACGCGTCAGTATTTCACGCGAAACAATTTACCACATAACGGGTTTTCATTTTATCTTGCGGTAAGGAAGCCTCGCGCCGGGTAAGACCGCGTGGCGCCGGGTTCATATTACGGTAATATCCGGATGAGCCGTTGTTGCACCATCCCCCGCAAGTCCTCATATTGTATTATCTTGTGGAACTGGAGATAATTATCAGGAGAAAGTGCTGTGCCAGTATGACTGTGCAACACGTGCAAGGAATACGGGGACAGTTTATACTAGCTGGGGTACCACTGCTGAGGGGAGGGACGGTGCCAAACAGCCTCAACCATCGGGGATCGAACGCCGACTTGCAATAAGCGAGGGCGTCGCTGTACTCTCCTGCGTCTTGTACAAAATTCCATGGATTTTTTTTTGTCTGCCTACGCGTCCCCTTTCCTGGTGAGGCAATGTGGGAATGTTCTTGTGCACATCTAGTTGCTTGTCTTTCATTCTTGTGTGTTTTGTATCTGTTGTCATGCGGTCAGGTTCCCCCTCTTACTCTCTTGATGGGTTCACGTGTTGCATATTGATTTATTTCAACCTTCCTACCTTCGCTCATCTCCCCCCCCCCACCTAAAACGTGTTTGCAATTCTCCCTACTTCTTGCATTCTCTTCCTCGATCCTGCATCCCTTCGCTCTATATCTTTTTTCTTCCATTTAATCCCTACAGGTGACTGCAGAAGACAAGAGAGACTCTTGAGGGAACCAGTCAGACATGCAAACCACACGCCACCTTAACAAGGTCATGGTCAGACCTTTTGGAGAGGTGACGTTGTCTCGACCGTGTAAGGCCCTTTGTGGGGTGGGGGGTGGGGGGGGGGTTAGTCTCGACCGTGGGGAGGCCTGGTCGACGACCGGGCCGCGGGGACACTAAGCCCCGGAAGCACCTCAAGGTAACCTCAAGGTAACCGTGCAAGGCCCTTTGTGGGGAGGGGGTTACGGTCGGCAGTATTTCAGGGCTATAAAATGACTATTTAAAGAGACTGTGAAGGTCAAGTCAGGCAAGGTCGTTAAGGGAGTTTTAAGGTCAGGTTAGACATTTTCCGCACAAGGTTATGTTCTGCGTAAACGGCAAATTATGTTTTTTTTTTTTTTAGTTTGTCAGCAGATGTGGTCAGACACGTGATAAGACTGTCTTTGGTGGAGTTATTTGGGGAGATTTAAGGCGAGGTTCTTGGTTTAGTTGACTGTGAGTGATGTCATTCAGACTGATAAAGTTAGATACGGGAAAGTGGGGGGGGAAGGGGGGAAAACCCCCACAACCCACCCACAACCCACCCACAAGTTCAAGTTCAAGTGTGTTTATTGAGACAAAAAATACATCTCAAAGGGATAGAGTAGCTTAGGCTATTTCTACCCCCCCCCCCCAGGTGTAACCCACTCTCCCTTGACCTCTAACTATGGACACTGGTATTTTAACAACTCGTATGGGCACTATAGGCATCATACACTATGGAAGTGCTGGAGGGGTAGAAGATTGCCTAAGCTATTCTATCCCTTTTGAGATGTATTTTATTGTCTCGATAAACGTACTTGAACTAGGGAAGTGGCATGCAGAGTATCTAGATTTTCCTGGGAATCGAACCCGTGTATCTTATCTTGAGATGATTTCGGGGCTTGGCGTCCCCGAGGCCCGGTTCTCGACCAGGCCTCCTTTTTGTTACACACCCCCAGGAAGCAGCTCGTAGAAGCTGTCTAACTCCCAATTGTCTATTTACTGCTAGGTAACAGGGGCATTAGGGTGAAAGAAACTATACCAATTTGTTTTCGCCTCCACCGGGGATCGAACCCGGAACCTCAGGACTACGTATCCGAAGCGCTGTCCACTCAGTTGCCAGGCCCCTAGGTGGTAGATGTTTGGAGTGAATGTGATCATTGGTCGTGTATCACCTTGAAGTGTTTGGGTCGCTTAAACTACAAGTTGCTGCCTATACCTGTGAATCCATAGACCCAGGCTCCACCGAATGCTATGGTGCAGGGAAATGCTCCACGTGCTCACCTTCTTGAGGTTATCTTGAGATGATTTCGGGACTTTAGTGTCCCCGCGGCCCGGTCCTCGACCAGGCCTCCACCCCCAGGAAGCAGCCCGTGACAGCTGACTAACACCCAGGTACCTATTTTACTGCTAGGTAACGGGCATAGGGTGAAAGAAACTGCCCATTGTTTTTCGCCGGCGCCCGGGATCGATCCCGGGACAACAGGATCCCAAGTCCAGCGTGCTGTCTGTTCGGCCGACCGGCTCCGACCTTGGGCATAATTTGCATATACCAGTTGATCGGTACTGTCCCGGCTAGTGTGGTCAAGTGTTGGAATTATCAGCCTAGCAGAGGTGTGCGCTGTTATTACATCCAAGCCTTCCCTGCCTTCAACTATAACCTCAGTCTTCCCCTGAACCTCTACTCTCTCGTGTAATGTAAATAATCATAAAGCCAGCTATGGCGTTAGTGAACCTTCCAGTCACTCGCTGAACCAGCAAGAGACACTGTCTCTCTCTTGCTCTCTCGCGGGCTCTCTCTTGCTCTCTCGCGGGCTCTCTCTTGCTCTCTCGCGGGCTCTCTCTTGCTCTCTCGCGGGCTCTCTTGCTCTCTCGCGGGCTCTCTCTTGCGCTCTCGCGGGCTCTCTCTTGCGCTCTCGCGGGCTCTCTCTTGCGCTCTCGCGGGCTCTCTTGCTCTCGCGGGCTCTCTCTTGCTCTCGCGGGCTCTCTCTTGCTCTCGCGGGCTCTTGCTCTCGCGGGCTCTCTCTTGCTCTCGCGGGCTCTCTTGCTCTCGCGGGCTCTCTCTTGCTCTCGCGGGCTCTCTCTTGCTCTCGCGGGCTCTCTCTCTCTTACTCTCGCTGGCTTTCGCGGTGAAGACTGGGATATTCTATGGCCCCTCATTGGAGAAGAAGCCAGAGCTCTCTTTCAGGAAGATGACTTGGATTCCGAGACTAGTTTGTGCGTCATTCGTTGTGGACCGCGCGTCTCTCATGCTTATTACGTCGTAAATATGGCGGTGGTGTATGCGCAGTGTTGCAGAGTGCGCGCATGCGTCGAGCGTGTCTTGTGTTGCAACGTGTATCAGTCTTGCTTATTGGTATGCAACCATCGTGCGCTTTTTGTGCTCTGCAAGATGCGTTCTGTAGTCTGGTACTTTACGGCTGTCATGCGTTATGCGTACTTAATACCATTAAGATTTAGGGAAAGTGGGACACGAAGATCCAAGTGGAAGCTGGAGACTCACCTGGGTGAGGTGATGTCGAGATGATGATGTCGAGAGATGTTCACTCCCCTGTAGTTACTATTAGGTAGTTAAGTGGGGTGGGGGGTTACCTAACATTATATCATCTCCTCGATCACTGCCACTTGTGTGCTCCCATAGTCTTCTCCATTGCCTGTTCCATCCCGCCCCCCCCCCTTCCTTGACAATCCCACTCAATATACCCCAAACCCCCCGACAATTTTCGCCACCATCTACACCTTTATACCCCTCCCACAGCCCCTCGCCCACCCCTCCCACAGCCCCTCGCCCCACAGCCCCTCGCCCACCCCTCCCACAGCCCCTCGCCCACCCCTCCCACAGTCCCTCGCCCACCCCTCCCACAGTCCCTCGCCCACCCCTCCCACAGCCCCTCGCCCCACAGCCCCTCGCCCACCCCTCCCACAGCCCCTATTAGAACTTTGATAATAGTGTTTACATAGGGAAGTGGTGGCCTGGGGGACCAGGACTGGGGCCAATATACACACAACTTGATGTTTCGTCCGGTTATAATTACCTTGATCGGAGGCTGGACGACCCCGCGCTGTGTGCCTGCGTGTTGTAGGGTGTTGTGGTGGGGAAGGTAATGTTGGGGACGCCAAGACGCACGGAGGCGGCTCTGGGGGGAGAACCCTCTCCTGCAGCACGGCAAGTCTCCAGTCTCCTCTCAGCCCAGGCGTCATTTAATGTTATCACCGGAAGCCTATGAAAGAAACACAGTATCAAGCTTCTCGGGGATTCTGACCAACTTTAGGCTATTTATAGCTAAAACGAGTATAATTCTTCACGTTGATCAGACCAGAGTTTGAGCATGCAGCAGTGCCATCCTCTGAAGAAACTGAGCAACTTGGTAAGACTAGGCATCAATCATTCGGTTCCCCCTTTTCCCCTGTTCACCCAGTAGTTATTGGATACGTGGTTGTTAGCGATTGGTAGGTGGTGCTGTAAGGAACAGTAGGGTAAGGCTTGCCATGAACTATGGGAAGGACAATCTCTCTGCCTTAATAGCAATAAGAAGTCGTCGGCTCCTCTTCTCATTTGTATACAAAAAAAATATTGCAGTGCTTACCAGG